TGAAATTTTTATGTATTTTGTCAATTTTTTATAGTTACTAAACTCATTACTATCGAAATGCTGCAAGTCCTCATGGGAATTCTGGGGCATGAGAATAGCGAAAAAACATTAATTTCTATAATTTCAGTTTATTTCTTGTTCTTGCCGAAAGCTCAATAACACACGATTGTTTTGTAAAAACAGCAATATTTCGTCATTTCTGCTACAAACCTTTTAAAGTATTCGTTACTAAATATTCGGTGACTATTGGTATCAAATGTTATGCAACTGTATTGCATAATTGTAAATATTCTGCACATTCTAAATATTATGTAACTATGTATGTGATAATTGATTTAGATAATTCTCACGCCGTTGAGAGAAACAAAATAAGAAAGTAAAAGTCGTGAAAACGGAAATGATTTTCAGGATCAATCTATTAATCTATGTGGTCTGTACTTTGATGGAAGAAAAGACGACATGATGGTAATTAAAAAATTTAATTTAAACTTTTTTCAAAAACTGAAAACAAAGACCATTATTCCCTCATACAAGAACCTGAATCAGGATATATCGGCCATGTTTCTCCTTCTACAAGTCTTGCAAAAAATATAGCTTCTATCATAATTTCCCATTTGACTATACATACGATGGCTTTTGAAGAAAACGACAGAGAGCGACGGGCCTGTAATTAATACTGGTTTGAAAAACAATATAACGTACTTAATCGAATTGCACTGGGAGACCACTGCAATGAGCTATATATCTCCTATGCTTCTGTGCACTACAGTTCCGTCATCTATTTCATTTTTTGGATAGTGTTATCACAAGCCTCAGATCCTTCAGTGGACCGATCGGGAAAAAGAAGCCTCCCTTGCTGTGAGAAATTTCCACTGATTCGCTTGGACTTTGTTGAATTCTTCATTCCTCTAGTCGGCAGAGAAGTGTTGAGCAAGTATCACATTTACTCACTTGATTTTTTACTGCCATAAAGAGAGATATAAATTTAGAAGATTTAGAAGCTCATTATCCTGGCCCGCTTTACACTCAAGACAACAGCAGATCGAGTTTTCAGACTTTAGGTGAGCTTCGAAAAGCAGACTGATGAAATTAGGCAGGTGATAAATTTTATTTTGAAGTTCTACGTGCTTCTCTGGTTCAAAATCCAAACTAGCAAAACTTTCACAGACAGTCCAAAGATAGTTTTCGAAACCATCATAACATCACGATATCTAACTCAAAATTTATTGCAAGTCATCAGTCCAGTTATTCAGCAGAATTCATTATTTCTTTGTTCATCCCGAAAATTTTATCCTTCAATGATAGTGGATGAAATGAGATATTATTAGAAAACTAGAGCTGCGCCGATTGTTGAAAGCCCGATCACTTTCCAAAGAAAGGACTTTTCGAAACTTCACCACACCAGAACTTGTAGAGTTATTAGGCTTTTTTGAAGCTGTAGGCGTGCAAAATACACAATGACTTCGCCTGGACTCGAATACTGGACCTCTAGAATGCGCCGAGTATGCTTCCAACTGCACCTCGAAGGCATGCGGGAAGGAGGGAGGAAATACCTTATATACTTCCTTTTCAAACAGCGACTGGGGATTAGGGGACCCAATCGCCAGAGCTTGATGGTGACAAATTATCGTCCACCACCTTTTTAGTTCGGGTGCCATCGTAAAGTCATTAGGTTATTTTGAAGCAAGATACAGAAGGCTAGACTGTAACAGCTTTAAATAGTATTAAAATCTTGTAGTTTAAATAATTTAAATAGATGAACATTAAGTTATTTCTGAATGGCAATATTTGAAACCAGACTCGAGTGCCTCGTGCGACTCTCGCACGAAGAATGTAATTTATTTTTAAATGATAGAATATGTTTTTTTCCTTGTTTGTATGTCGCCATTTTTGAGTGTTAAATAAAAGTTATTGCTGTGTTCCATCATTGGAGTTGCTTATTATCGCCAAAGAAGCATCACAAGACTTAGACCTCCGTCCTGTGTCTACTGAAAGACTTAAAAATTCTTCTCGGAGTTTTGGTGTCTAAGGTCCAGAAACTCTCGTCCACACAGGTGCAAACCTCGCAGTCCTCGCCCGGTTTTATACAAAGCATTGGGCAAAGCAATAAATACAATGCAAAAGAAATACGCTAGGACACTTTTGCTTCCAGGTACCACTCCATCAGCAAACATATATTCAAATTGGTGCTCTGTCCGCTATTTCAGTCTCCGCCGCGGGAACTGAATGGGGTCAAACCCCCGGGGACTTGATCGGTGATCTCCGATCTAGCTCCACAACAACCGAAGAAACGGACACAACAGTACCAGTACAGTCCCTGCTAAGCCCGAAACAACCTTCGAATGAACGAGGACTCTAGCCCTGTGAAGACTGATTTTATGCACCCGTGGTTGAGACTACCTAAGTACAGATCCTAGCCAGTATTTCCCAGGAATTCTTGGGGAGTATCCTCGCCGGAACTCAAACCCTGGACTTCTTGAATACGCGTCGAGTAAGCTTCTCAATTATACCACGAAGGCAAGAGGAAAGAAGGGAGAAAATACCGTATAACCTTCTAACTAGGTTGTCTGATTTTGCCATATTATTTATAATTATCTTCTTTCCCACTATCTCAGCGATGAAGTGTAAAAAAGAAGTCCTCGTACTTTTATGAATTAAAGAACCGAATTAGAGGCTTTGTGTTGTACCTCAGGCAATGCTTCAATGTGCAATAGCATCCTTTCGTTCTGACCACTGCTATATATATTTTTAAGGCAAGACAATCAATTATCATGCATGACATTCAAACTACTGCATGGAGCATTTTCGCTTACATAATTTCAAAACAATATACTCGATACTAGAAGCAATGAAACTCCAAACATTTTATAACATTTTTTCAATATACTTGACTATTTACATACATGTCACTCATATTTTACAGATGAACTTTCGTAAAAAGTCGTGAAAACGGAAATGATTTTCAGGATCAATCTATTAATCTATGTGGTCTGTACTTTGATGGAAGAAAAGACGACATGATGGTAATTAAAAAATTTAATTTAAACTTTTTTCAAAAACTGAAAACAAAGACCATTATTCCCTCATACAAGAACCTGAATCAGGATATATCGGCCATGTTTCTCCTTCTGCAAGTCTTGCAAAAAATATAGCTTCTATCATAATTTCCCATTTGACTATACATAACGATGGCTTTTACGATGGTTCTCATGCTACAATTATACAGTCTGTGGGTATTCTTTCGTAGCATAAACCCTGAATTCTACGTTGAAGACTAAGTAGCCAACTCTTTCTATGTCTTTAAGAATAAATACTGCAGAGTAAATGGTCAAATATTTTTTTTTTATTTAAAACTAAATTAAAACAGATGCACGCACTTCTCTCTCACAATCGCCACCACTTGTGGCTACGTAACAGAAAATAAGAATGTAACGAATTCCTAGTAAATTACTATAATCTAGTGACTGGCTTCTTAGCTTAAACTAACACTAAATCGACTGCACATAGCAAATCCTAGCCGAGAAATATCAGTATAAACTGAAAGGTGTGGAACACCGGACTAGAGAGTTAATTTTTAAACTCGAAGCATAAACACCGAAACTAAGTCCGCTACTACTCTTTAAACTCCTGAAACGCAGCTTAAATATTGCTTCTGAACCCGTTGAGGATTTGCGTCTACGTCATACAAAATTTACATTCCGGCAGGAAACTGAAATCAGTAGTCCTGCACTGCTTGCTCGGCGTCCCACAGATGCCAGGGATGTTTCTATTTTAATTGCTTTATAAACAGATGTGTCAGCAGGCTTATGCTGCCGTCTACCTTTCTGTGAACTATACACAAATAAGTAGAAATCGTCGAAACAGCGCTATTTTCATTTTAGTGCTGAGAGGAAGAGGTTATAAGCCGATGTGCATTACTGAAGTCAAGGAGACGCCACGCGACCGTTTTTGATTTTAAAGGTAAGTGTTTTAAAATTTATATATTCTAGTATTTTTAATTTATATAATCAACAGCTGTCCCTAGTAGTGGTTTTTTTTTTTTTTTTTTTTTTTTTTTTTTTTTAGCGATAAGTGAAAGAAATTGTTTGTGAATATTTAATTTTAAATGCAAAAGGAATGTATGTATTTCTTTTGGTTTCGTATTTGGTAATTTATAATTTTTATGGTATTTATAATTTTTTAACTATTATTTATTTTCTTACCTTTAGAGTCAAGATGACTTCTCAGAAAAAATTCAATATGGCAGATGAACGTGACAGAGAAATAGTACTGCGTATGCTGATGGAAGAATATAAGTCAGGTGATGAGTTTGATGATTATAATGATGCAGAAGAAAATAGAGTGGAAACAATAGAAAACACAGACACCGAGCAAGAAAAACTCCAATGATAGCGATAGTGATGATTATATTGCCGATAATTATTTCCTAGGCCGGAATAAATCATCACAATGATCAAACGTTTGCCCACCTAAAAATAAAAAATATACATTCTCGGCGACATAATATTAGATATCACATAATAGACATCACTCATTTGCCAGGGGTGAAAGGTGTCGCCAAAAATGCTCGAAAGCCGTAGCAATGTTGGGCATAATTTTTCTACATTGACATGCTATCTAATATAGTTAAGTTCACAAATGAATAGATGTCCATAATACAGGAAAATTATTCTCGGGAAAGGGATGCCCATTTGACCGACATAGTTGAAATAAAAGCGCTCTTAGGCGTATTACACATTTGTGCTTCTAGAAAGGACGATCATGCAAATACCAAGAAGGTATGGTCCTCTGATAAAATGGGTATTGAGTAATACCATCTAATAATGTCTGAAAAACGAGTTAGGTTCATTTCACATTGTTAGAGGTTCGACAATAGCGATTTTTTGCTTCAAAATAATCTTACTTGGTTGGGATTATGAGAAAGAATAAGAGTGAAATTCCTTCAGAGTTTACACATACAAACAATCGGAAAGTAGGAACACCATTGTTTGGGTTTCAGAATGACTCTAATGTCTTATGTAACTAAAGAAAACAAGATGGTTCTGATTCTCTCCACTATGCATCATGACGATGTAACTGATGAATCACGTGAAAAAAACAAGCCACAGATGATAACCTTTTATAACGCAACTAAATCAGGAGTTGATACTGTTGACCAGTTGTGTAGCACTTACAATGTCGCCAGGAAAGCGAACAGATGCCCTATGGTCATATTTTATAATATGATGAATGTAGCAGCTATAAATGCTCAAATAATATATCGTGCAAATAACTTATCAATTAGCACCAGACGCAGTGAGATTTTAAAACTTTTGGGTAGCTTATGATTTCTTGCGCAGTCGTTCTCAATGTTCATCATTACCTAGAAACCTCAAGCAGGATATTCAGAGCATTTTCCCAGATGAGGGTACAGTTCAACTTACAGTAGAGGCTTGAACTACTAAAAGGCAGAGATATCAGGAATGTGGCCGTTCCAAGAACAGGTACACCAAGTGCAAATACCGCAGTTGTAAACATTTTTATGTTTAGAAAACTCTCAACAAATATGCGCTGATTGCTAGTTTGTGCAACTAACTCAATGAGACAATTTCATAAACATAAATGAGACAATTTCACTTGTATTTTTCCTTTGTATTTGAGTTAAGTTGAATAAAATTAAGTCTCACTGTAAATTGAAGTTTTGTTATTTGTGTTTGTAATAGGATACCACAAATATATGTATGTTATTTCAATAATCGCTTTGCATTCAGAAATTTTAGTTGAATAACCTAAATATATATTAGTACAACAAAAATACTCCTGGCGTCTGTTAGACGCCGCGCGACCTTTAACGTAACAATATTCCATGCGAGCACTGCAGGGGTAGGGAAAGGGAAGAAAACTAAAAATAACTGGTTAGAATAAAATAAATCCTTACATTGTTATTTATGAAACATTGTGTCTCCCAAACGTTTATGTTTAAAATGTTTTGGAAATGGATAGTTTGTTACACTGTGGGGACGTACGATGACAAAAGGCAGACTTCTGCATTTCGATGACATTCAGTGGACCGTCAGATCGCCTGACATAAGTGCTGCGGACTTCATCATTTGAGGACATTTGACGGATTAGGTGTATGCAACCAGAATTGGAAGTGTGAAAGAACTGAAGGAAAAAATCAAGGCGAACACTGATCACAATTATGTGATATCCGAGATTACTCGATATCCTTGACTGTGTCTTGCAAAGTCTTCGTAATCGTCTTATGCGATGCTAAATGATCATTTGCAGATAAAGTGTTTCACAAATAATTGTAGCAAATTCACAAAAAGCGCAGTAAGGCATTATATATGTAGACGGATTAGTATGATTGATGTAAAAGATTGATATAAAATATTTGGAGTTTTATTGCCCTAGGGCCGAGTATATTATTTGCAAAATAAGTATTTTAAAATGCTGCACTTATATGATGGTACTATGGCAAAATGCAGACCTTCTGTCATAAATGTATGTGGGAAAATACATCTAATTTCTCTTTTGAATTTTTTTAAAAATTTTCTATTGTTTAAGATACAGCTTGTAAACGACACAGCGCTCATGCTGACTGACTTTCTAAAGTAAATTCTTACTAACTTAAATACTAAATCCAGTATATTCTGGCACTTTTAATTCATATTTCCCTTCTAGAAGAGGGCAATATTTATGCAATATGAAAATAGTTGCACTTAAAACGTTCTGTCATATGTTTCTGCCCTTAAATCCAGAAACACTCGTTCGTATGTTATTATTTCAAATGCTACTTTATTGCTTTTATTTTGTTCCTATTTCGCCTCGAACAAAAATGAGAAACGTGAACACAAATGCTCCGTTCCTGCTGTAATACTGTAAAAATATAGTATTGGGGTATTATTATAGAAATCAAACTGTATAAACATTTATCCATAATTTAAAACATTTTAAGAGAAAGAATCTAGTATGTAAGAAAAGGCATTTACCAAAATAACAGAATACAGCAAGTCTAAAGTTTAGTCCATACATTTTACATTCTGAAGTTCCTATCCAGTTTCGTGAAGACATTGTCTTTGAGGAATATATTTTATTCAGCCTATTTTTCCCATCAAAATGATGCCAATAAGTGTCCCTGCAGGGGTCACGACCTTCTCCCCCCACCTCATACTTTATGCATGCGCGTCAGCATTACCGTCAGCGAAAGGACAACTCTGCCCGATTGCTAAGTCAGGATTCCGTGCCGCTTGCCCACGAAAATTCATTCCGAAGGAACTCGATATATGCCTGTCTTCTGGCAGATTCGATACTTTCGTTTTCGTTCTCACGCTTCCTGGATAGTTTGGAAGAAATTGCGTAGTTTTCTCCTGGGATATTTCACATCGGTTGAAGAATCGTTGCATAAAACTCGAAGCGTTCGGGTTGTTTTTGCTTGGCTGTCTACTCGCCTTAACGTCGAATTCTTTTAAAATATATCGATTCTAAATTTGTTGAATAAAAATAGAATGGGCTTTCTTGGTCAGTTTCTTTACCCGCATGCGAATAAAATGTGGCGTAAAGGAAGACCTTAAAATTATTTTGGAAATTCTTGTTTTGACATAACATGAATTCAGTTTGAAAACCCATTTCTTCCGAATATATTTAAGAAATATGCAATTAATGGAAAGAATGTACTTTTATATATTCATTCGGGCCATGTGTCCCGATAATTGTTAACTGTCGTCCCCGCAGAAATTAATTGTAACAATTCAAAAGTTAATTTTTGAATATTCTGTGAAGTAGTTCTTGTCCGATAAAAGTGGAAGTTTATTTTACTAATCTATACATCCCAATCTCGTTCTTGTCTAGTTTCTAACTATAGTGATATATTTGACATCAATATGGAAAATTAGCGAACAAAAACCTAATTCTTGAGCGGTTGAAAATTATTACTCCGTACTAATTAGCATAACGTATTGCGTTTAGAATGTCATTTATTAATTACAATAAGAATATGAATGTTTAAGATTTTTGAATTTTTATGTTTAAAAGACGCGAATTAAAGGCGTAATAAATTGTATAAGTTAGATGTTTTATTAAAGCCAGAATAAGGTAGGTATTACCAAGAACCATGCACATGGTTATTATACTTAAGCCATATATAGGTTTAACTTGAAAGGAATCATATAAATTTTACACTCAGTCCAATGGTGATACTTTTGAGAATTTGTAATTCAGCATGCGGTATGGATAGTAGATGAAACGTCTTATGTCTCATAGAAGTATAGATCTTATGTGCATGGCGCAAAGAATACACTTCCCAACCACCTGGATGACTGTGGTAACTTCACGTAATGTAATTATGCGTAAAACATACATTGACCCAACTATATACACCAAATAAAAATTTTACTCTTAAATAAAAAACTAATGATAATTTTGCAAACATTTCAAGATGTTCAGGAAACAGATTCACTAAATGAACTTGTATATAATTATATTCTGAAGATGATTTCCTGTTACATAACAGCCTAAAATTAACCAATCAGATTAGCTATACTTATGCATCATACTTAGTATAAATACTCTTTGCAAAACAGCTACGTCATTCCTGTTCCTAGCTTCCTTTTCCTAAAATCATATCCCCCACCTACATATATATATATACATGTGTTTTTTATAAGTAATAATGGCAACTCGCTCACCAGCAAGACCATGTAACCACTTGGCAGACGAGACGCTAAACGGGAATGATGATGAAGTTTGAAAAACCAAAAAGAACTCCGAATTCTTTTTGAACATTTCAAATTCGTATTAAAAACGAGCTATCTAATATCAGTGTAATGAAAGCAGATGTCCCTCAGTGCTCGAATTTTTCATCTTTTCTTTTTAACTTCTACACAAATGATTTTCCCAGGCACAAAGATACCATTATCGCAATTCTCAGTAAATCCATCAATCCGCAAAGAGCCATCCGAAACCTCCAAAACGCAATAGACTATATCTTCCCATGGTTTAATGTTTGGAAAATTAAAATCAATGAAAGCAAATTCACTACAATATATTTCCAAAAGAACCCTTCCAGAATACATCTCAACAATATCCCAATTAATATCTCCATCCCAAATGAAAAATGTGTTAAATATTTAGGAGTTTATCTCGATCAAAAACTAACCTTCAAAAACCATATCGAAAATATCTGTAAAAAACCCAACCGAGCAACAGGCAGTATCTATGCACTCATAGGGAGAAATTCTAAACTTAGTCTCGCTACAAAAAGAGCTATTTATCTACAAGCTTTTATCCGCCCGATTTTACTGTATGCTTCCCCAGCGTGGGCTGCAACTGCAAGAACTCATCGCTAAAAAATACAAAGAATTCAAAACAAGGCCATCCGAATAATTACAAATGCGCCTTGGTTCGTACGAAACAGCACTCTTTACAATGACTTAAAAATTAAACTCACGGATTCGGAAATTCTAAAAGCTTCTATAACTTTTTATGAATTAATCCCTAAATCAAAAAACTGGTTTATTCAAATACCAAGTTACGCCCACATCGCCAAATCGGTAGTATTTTTTTTATTTCCATTTTATTCACTTTATATTTTGAGCGCCTGCGCATCTGTAATGTAATCCACGCATGCGCATCTGTAATGTGATGATCAGACGAGTTTGAGAATCGCCATCGACGGTGTAAGAGGGCTGGTCACAGCTATGAGTTAATTGTAATTAATTATGAGAATTAATAAAGAATCGAACCAGCGAATTTATTTAGTGTGTGTTATTTGGGACGAGACCCAAACATATCTGGTCGTAGTCGACCGGAGCGTGAGTAAATAGTGTTTCGTTTTTGAGAACACAGGAGTGTTTGTGTTTGCCAGTATTCCAAGCTTGTTCTTTTCAACGAATATCGCTGATTTTGGATACGGATATTCATCAAAAGTGAATCACTGCAGAGGTAAGTGATTCCTCTCTTGTTAATTCTGTACTTTCTGTGCTTGTTCTGTTATAAATAACAATGTTATTTAAGGGTGCTAAAAAAGAAGATTTAAGGCTTATTGCCTTAGAAATAAATCTAAATGTTGACGAAAAAATGACTATAGCAGATTTGACTGATATTATTGAGAATAGTGAAATTTTTCAAAACTAAACAAGATTTAGTAAAAGAGATAGCAAACTCTATTATCGAAAATAGAAAACAGGAAGAGCAAAAACTTGTCGAGTTAGAAAAAATAAAACTTGAGAGATCAAAGAATGAGTTAGAGTTGGCTAAGCTTAAAGCAGAAACTAAACTTGATGGTGTAAGCGAAACCGAAACAAAATCAGAGTCACTAGATCAATTAATAAAAAGTATCAGAACC